ATATGGTCACAAGGTTGAAGTATAAAGAAAAACATATGCCCATTTTCAGATAAATCCCTATTCAACTCTTTTCCAGGATAGAGCTCCAAGAAAGCCATAAAGGGATTTTATTAAAAACTGAGATTTTTAGGAAACAGCATTCTTGATCTTATGTACATTTCTAGCATCACTTCCTGTATATTTTTAAACTGAAATCCTCTTAGCATGCAAAGTAAATAGATTATGATATACTGAAGGATTAAGGATCACTGTCTGGTGTCAGATTAATCCCACATATAGACCATCACTTGTACTGACAGAAATATGGCTTCAATTCAGCAAAATAGCTCTATGGCTAGGTAACACATTTCAACATGTTATGTAGAGCAAGTGAGAGATTTCCTTGGTTTGTTGTTGCACTGCATCTATCTATCTCAGAAATTAAATATAAATCTGTATCATATGCAGCACATGCTCTCCTCAAGTTACTGTAAGGAGGCATAGCGCACCAATCATCCATTACATATACTGCTGCATGTGGGGAAATGCTGAAGTAAACTGTTTGTTTCACAGTTCTCACTTTATTAATGTTTTCCCCATTGAATACATAGAATTGTATGCATTTAACAGTTTTGTTCACTCAAGACAGAAGCTTTTCAGTATGTTTTAACAGACATATCTAAATATGCGGATACCCAGAGACTGTTAAAAGATGTTGCATTTTGTATTACTACCGAACCAACAATCCTCTTAGTGTATGTTAGATTGCATCAGTCTTTTGACACTCATGGGAAAAAATGGCTGGACCAATAAACAATAAATCAATACACTTTACATAAAAAAAAGATATTCTTAACACAGTTTGAATTTTTAAAACCTTTTTATTTTGAATAAAAATATAATATTTATTTAGTGACAAATACCATTTAAAGACTGTGACCAAAAAGCAAAATCAACTACATCATTGGCTTTCAGTTTTACATAACTGACCAGTTCAAAAGATCAAGCTTAATCTATATGTGTATATACAATAAAGAACAATACATATGTATATACATGATATTCTGGATCAAACAGTGGAAAGGAAGAAACACCATAAAGTTCCTTTTCTCCTTTAGTAGTTCTGGAACTAGTATTATAATGAAACAGTTTAAGTTGCTTTTCAGTGCATTTTCTGTTAGTGACTAGAAGAGCAAGATTAAAATCAGGACTCCAAAGGAATGATGTTTAAGAGACTCCATCTTTTTTTTTTTTAAAGGCAAAATAATGGTTCTTCAGCTAAGATGCTATATGTAGATTTGAAAATTGAGAGCGTTCTTAGAAAAATGCTGCTGACTGTGAAAGACTGCTCTTTCACAGAAGTAGCCTGAGTGAAGATTTTATCTGCTAGTATCTCAGCAGAATGGTTTTCACAGCCTTAAGTGGACATTAAAATCTGCATCCAAGTGAAGATTATTAAAATATATAATGCATGGAGAATTACAGAGAATTTCCTCTATGAGATTTATGGATTTGTTTAGTGAAAAACAAATCTTTCAATGTTACCGTTTGTACACTGTTATCCATGAGTACTGGATTTTATACATCATAGGAGATCATGCTGAAAACGTCACAATATTGCTGTACATAAATAAACGTGAGTCTGATTTTTGCCTATAAATCAATAATTCAGTGTTTTTAGAATGTTGCTGAAACGTGTAACTGAATTGTCTCTTGAAAGGCCTGATCCAAATGAAAGATTGTGATGAACTTCAGTGGGAGTTCAATCAGGCCTTAGTTATTTTTCTTTTAAAGTGAAAGTACTCATATTTTTGGTTATACTAGACCAAAGTGTATCACTTTGAGAGATCCACTTCCTTCATTCTCCTGAGGAGAAAAAAGAAGCATAAAATCACTCACTGTACAGTACAGACATTAAATATGACAGATGTAAAAATTTACCCTTTTATAGTTAAGAAACTGCCCCCCCAGTACCCCAAAGAAATGCAAACTTTTCTAAATATTAACTACCACATGGAAGATTATTTTGCAAAAACGAAACCTAATTTTGCTATCTTTAATTCAAATGTATAACAAACATTCTAAAAGTGTATTATTGGAGCCAGATGTTTAAAGATAGGGAAGCAATTTTGTACTCTTAACACAAGTCTGCAAATACTTATGTGGACATGAATTGGAGGCCCTTCTATGTATGTACAACAAATGCAAATGCATAACTGAAACCTAGGCCATTATTTTTGTAAGCAACATGACAATTTGTGAAAACAGCATGTGCTAAAATGCAAGGGTGTTTCATGATATATGTTGTTAGCATGCCTACAAAAAGTGTGAAAACTTTGCTACAGAAAGTGTTATGCTATAGTGAATCACTGCTTCCCTTTTGATTGCATATGGGCAGAAACCTCTTCGCGATGCAAAGAAAACTAGGCATGGAGTCAAAATCAAAGGAAAGTGGGTGTATGTACCCTACTGTAGTTTATAAAATACATTAATTTAAATGGAAAAAAAGTGGAAAATTGGCAACTAGAAGGATGTGTAAGTTAAGGCTGCCGCAGGCTTATGTGTGTGCTGGCAAGTTCATGTTGATTTTCACTCTTTCACTTCAAGTGAGAGAGAGAGAGAGAGAGAAAAACAAACAAACCAACCTTGCAACCTAATAAAGAGCATTTATCAGAGCAGCAGCTCCATCTTATGGTATATATATTCAAACACAGAGATACACATCACGTTCTTCAACAATGCTTCAGTGCACAATTCATGTATTACTGCTGTGTGTTTAAGGCAAAAAAGATTTCAACAGCTAGAATTTTGTCTTGCTGGCAATACTGCATTTTAGCTCCAGCCACTTGTACGGCATTTTTGCTGCTTGATGGATAGGGAAAAAGTTAGAGAGCATGTTTTTAAGGATAGAAATGTAGCCGTGTTAGTCTGGGGTAGTTGAAGCAAAATGCAGGACAATGTAGCACTTTGATCTGAGGAAGTGGGTCTGGCCCACGAAAGCTCATCATCTAATAAACCATCTTGTTAGTCTTTAAAGTGCTACATTGTCCTGCATTTTGTTTTTAAGGAGGTACTTGGCCGTCACTAGATAAAGCTTCTTGCACCATGTAAATGCCAACAGTTGTTCTAGGAAAATGAAAGTGTTTTCCCATTCAGCACCTCCCTACCACACCCCTAAGGTTATAAAATGCAGAAACAACTCAGCTTTCCTGGTGAATTTCATGCACAGCCTCTACCATACCACAACTCCCAGGCAGATCTTGAGGCAAAGTTTGTAAATGGTTAGATTCTAAGTTGGCTTAATGGATATTAGACTCTTAGAACTTTCATTTGTTTCACTGATACTGAACATTTCAACTCTAGTTTTGAGTCTAGACTACTGGATAATTATTAACATCTTTCTGTTTCTAAGTGCAGGCATCTAGCACCTGCTCAAATCATTTTTTTTACTAACATTTCATCACTAGAGATAGTCTACATCTTCATGGTAGCCATGCAGCTATTGCTCCTTTTTCATTCCTAGTCCTCCTTGTATGAGATGGATTGCTGTCTTGTCTTCTGTTAAGACGGTAGCACAGGAATTCTGCCCTGTAGCTGTTGTGGTCATTTTGTAAGTTAATATACAATGAAATAATTAATAACTTTGCACTTCCATGGTGCCAGGCTCCCAAAGAGTTATACAAAATGTCAGGAAGCATTATCATCCCAATTTCAGAGCAAGAGACTGAGCCATAAAGAGATGAAGGCCTGCATTTGCAATCTGAGACATCTGGAGCCTAATTTTATACACAAAGGCAATCAGCACTTCTGGAGACTTACTTGTATCAAATTAGGTATCTAAACATTAAGGCATCTTAAATCAAGAGAGACTTCTGAAAATGTGGAGCTTTCTTAAGGTCTCCCAGGTAAACTAAAATTGGGAACAGAATTGAGTCAGGGATTGGAAGTCACAAGACTTCACTGAACCCAAATGCCAGATCTCAAATGCCAGAAATTTGACTTGGTAATTGGATCTGACTTTCCACATTCAGTCCCACATGTACCACAGTCCCACATGTATTTCTTCTAGAAAATAACTTAATCACTTTACATTGGCAAAGTCTTTTTTGGTCAAATATTTGGCTACGTGGCAGTGTTTTTTCTGGACCTGGCAGGTGAATGGAAACAATTTCCTGCAGTTTCAGGATTTGCAGTGAGCAAAGTATACACAGGTAATGATATATGTGCAAGAGATTGTTGACATTATGTGGATATTGTCTTAGCAAGGCCCCTGGTCTCCACTCATTTCTGATCCCAGCTTCATGGCTACAGAGGTCTCCCTAATAGCAGAACCAGGGCAATCTCACTGTGCGAGAAATGGCTAGGCTCTGGGTGTGCACCCCTTTTGTGGCCCAGAACCCAGCACAGTGATGGCTCCTTTTGCTTCAATGTACAGGAGGTAAAGGAACAGAAGAATGAATCTGGGCATTCACTGGTGCATTGGAGGGATAACTCAGCCATTGGGTTTCACAGCCATTCTGTGGCGGTAGGTGGGAGGAGTTGTCTTGCTCCTCACTGGACATATCGAGAGGACGGCCCCAACTTTGGCTGAGTGCTGAGCCCAGCTTTTGGCCCTCTCAGTGAATGCATTTTAATGGTCTCTTAGGGTACGTCTAGACTACATGCCTCTGCCGACACAGGCATGTAAAGTAGGCTACCCAACACAGTCAAAGAAGCCAGGATTTAAATATCCCCAGCTTAATTAAAATAAAAATGGCTGCCGTGCTGTGCTGGCTCAGCTGATCGTCGACACAGTGCGGCAGTCAAGACGTGGATCGGTCGACAGGGAAAGCCTTTGTCAACCGCTCCTGTAAACCTAGTTTCACGAGACATAAGGGAGTGGTCGACAAAGGCTTCTCCTGTTGACCGGTCCGCGTCTTGACTGCCGCGTTGTGCCGACGATCAGCTGAGCCAGCACAGTATGGTGGCCATGTTTATTTTAATGAAGCCGGGGATATTTAAATCCCGGCTTCTTTGACTATGTCGGGTAGCCTAGTTTACGTGCCTCTGTCGGCAGAGGCATGTAGTCTAGACATACCGTTAGTTGAAGACACATCTCCCTAAAGCATAGGCCTCATTCCCTAGGAGCTTGGCAATATTGATACTGAATTCAATAGGCAACTGTACCAGGCCCTTTTCTGTGATTTTCAATACAACAACTTTCAGTCCAATTAGCTGGACAAAAAGGAAACATGTTTTAACTTCTCCACGCTCTTATACAAATCTGTAGAGAGAGAAAATATATTAAGCCCCGCAGAATGATGGAAAATAATCATACTTCGATTTTGAACCTGTACACAACATTTAGCACGAAGTATACTGTGCAAAGGATGGACATGCCTGTGATACTCTATAACAATACAGTAACAGGTTGTTCAAATTATGTAGTTAAGCACTAAAAGATGAGGAAAGGTTCAAGTTAATGTTGCTCGTAAGGATCCGAAGTGTGGTTCCGTTCGGAAAAGTGACAACGTAAAAATGGTTCCAACTTGTTTCCTTAGCATGATTGTCAATAATTGCTCATTTTGGTGACAAAGATCCGTTGTTATTGCTTTTTCTTCCATGCAAGAGCCATCCCAGCTCCAGGAGATGAAGCAAAATTCTTTTTTCCCTTGGTTAACAATTCTGTTTGATGCCCAAGTTTTATTATTTGAATTGTTGTAGAAGCCTTAGTCAAGGACAGTGTTCCCTGTAAACTGTGTGCTTGCGTGGCCAATCAGGACAAATTCAAATGTGGCTCAGCTGATTTGCAGAGCACTCACAGCTAGGTTTTGTGTTTCTATTAGTAGTGAACATTTGCACATGCCTCAGTGCACATAACATTTATACTGCACATAGATGGAAAAGATTAGAGGGACCATTGGTCATGCACTACGACCCCATTGTGCTAGGTGCTGTACAAACACAGCTCCTATCCGTCAGATAGAAGAGCACATACTCACTGGAATCAAGAGAACAGCACAGATGTCGCTAAGGGCATCATGTGAAGATCGTCTCATCAAAGTCAGCGTTTACCTTGCATAATCTTTATTGACTGTGACTAGAACCCAGCCTCACTGTCAGATTCCAGCCTGAGTTTGCAGGGATGGCAATCAGGAAAACAACAACAGCAACCCATATTTTGACTTGTACTTGGCACACATTTGATCTGGAATCACTGAGAGACAATGAATACAAGTTCCACAATTTGAACAGTCACGTTTCAGAGCAGAACTACACTTTATCTGCTGCCAAGCCTGTGTCCATTACAACACAGTCTTTTTCTCGATCAAGTGAGATCATGTAACTGAAGATCAGAAAATGTCTCACCAACCTTAGAGACACGTATACATCTTGTAATGTTTTGTTCTAGAGGATGAAGGGTCCCACAAATCCAGAGATCTACTACAGAGCTGGAGCAGCAATAGTGCAGACCACACCACCTACAATAGCCAATATGTTCTATTGGATGAAGGGCAATTTAAGTCTTTGTGCCTCTTTAACTGTTGGTGTCACTGCTGAAACTGCCAGCAAGGATGCCAATTAGTTGGAAACGTGGTGGCTGTGAGACTAATTACCCATTTCACATTTTCCACCCAAATCAGTATCAGACATTAACACATTCTGATTGCTGGTAACCAGAGCTGGATTCAAACCATGCAGGTCTGGCTCCATTTTACAAGCCCTTTGGAAGTGGAATGACCACTAACAGGAGACCTGCATGCGGAGGAAAGATCAGGCTGGGGAGTTTGTAACAAGATGTGAAACAGAGTAGAATGAGAAAAAAAAAGAAAAAAGAAAGAAAGATGTTACCTGTTCTGTGTGAACATCTCCAAAATTCCCTTTAAAACACAAGGTGACAACATTACAACAGAACACTTGCTGGCAAACAAACAAGCAAGGTTAATGTGTGGACGTTAACTTTTCCGCCTGGCGATAGGATATAAAATAGTGGTACCTATCACATGATGGATAATTAAAGAGTCCATAGATATGTACGTGCATTTGGGTTACGCCCTCCCTCTCTTCCCAAACACTGGCAAACCCATAGCGCAGTGCATTCTGCAGAAGATAGCCTGGTAGACACAAGGTCAGTGACAGATCCGTGTCTGGGTATCACACATGCATGAGTGTTTGTAACCAAGAGGTATAGGATATACTAAATGCAGCTCTGGTAGCACAACCCTTTCATGTTGATCTCTTTGAAAATGTGATATGATACTTGGACATGACAAATGGTGAATATCCTGACCTCAATCACCTCTTTTACAAATATCCTTCAGTGCATCAGTACACATGGCTTGGGGACCAGAGCCAGGCCTACACTAGAAAAGGACACCGGTATAATTATGTTGCAACTTCACCCAGTGTGGACAGTGCTACCTCAGCAGGAGGGCTTCTCTCTTCAACACAGTCCTAGCCATCTAGAGATATGGATTAATGATGCTGACAGTAGAAGCTTTTCTGTTGGTGCAACAGCATCTTCACTGAAGTTCTACAGTGGGCATTTTAAAGGCAGACATGCCCTCGGTAAGACAGGCCCTTCTACCATTACTTGTCCACATTGAAATAGTCTGGCATTGTTCTATAGCTCTCTCTATTCTGTCAAAGGTTTAAAATACTTCACAAAGACAATGAACCCCCTCTGTTCACTCCAGAAACATCCTTGCCGAAATCATGTTGTTTCTTTTACAAACTATTTATGTCAATGGCGTTACACTGGTTTACACCAGTTGAGGATCTGACCCGTATGGACTATAACATAAAGCAATGTCCCTAAGAATAACAGTAATATGTTGCACATAGATAGCCCCTTTCATTTATGAACAATACACATTTTTACAAAAATGGGAAAACTGAGTCACAGAGGTTAAGTGATTTGCCCAAGGTCACAAGAACCAGTGGTAACCTCAGGAATAAAACCCAAGGTCCTTGGTTCCTTTCATTGGGAGATCTCGCTGCCTCCTTGTTCTGCTGTCAGACTGTTAAGAATTTATGAATTTTTAGACCTTGCTTACTTTTTCTTTCTGCACTCAAAATTCTTCCAGGATATCAACTGACACTATTTACAACTTCTTTCCATTGTGCTTATTTGAAAATAACATGCTAGTTCTTACCTGCAGGATTCCAGGGCAAGGGCTCATCCATTACAGAAGCAGCACTGATATCCATTCCAAGCGCCGTCTCCCTGTTGTCTCTTTGTCTATGTGTAGCAGAACTTAAAAAAAAAAAGTGGTGATGGAGCAGAGAGTCATATAACAGACATGTTGTTTGTTTACATCTTGAAAAGCGCATGGCAGTCTGTAATTCACTGTTTTCAAACGCTAGCTCTTTTTTATCAGATGCTCCTGTTTGTTTACCATGAAAACTCTCTTGCCTGTGCAATCATTCTATAGCTGTTCTGTCAGTCAAAGATGTGGAATAAGGGTCTTGTCTTTCATGCGATTAAGGGTTTTGTTAAACAGGGTGCCCCCAACAGATCTTCAGATTGTTCTAACAGACAAGAGGAATGTTTCACATTGAAACAGTTCTAAGGAACAGCAGTCAGGCAGATACCAGGATGCCAAGAAAGCAGGATGTGATGTACAGAACACCATCCTCTAATTACTCTCACACTTAAAAAAGCCCCCAAACCAAAAAAACTCCCCCTACAACACGAAGTTGTGAGCTTTGACTCTCTGTTGCTCCTTCGCCTCAAAAGGAAAAAAAACACCACCACCCGCATGATGTTGTGGAATGTACGTATAAGTTAGTTTGTCAGGTCTTCTTGATTTCTTCATTTATTCTCCTGTTGCTCATTCATCCTCAATCTTCTGTTATTCCACAGCATACATAGGCAATCTGCTTCCCCAGGCAGTGGAATCAGCCTGTCAAATTTTAGTAGATACATTAACTTGTCTGGCATCGGCATGCCTAGCAGGATCTCACCATGCAGTCCTCACACTGGCAAAACTCCCACTGAAGTTTTGCCTGCAGGAAGAAAAGAGCAGAATATAAAGACTGAAGAGGTTCTTAAGCAGGATCAGGGGGTTTCTGTCACTTCTTCATTCTGGTGGATTTCCCGCCTCCTAGTTCCTCTTTGGCTATGGTAACACCTACTCTATTGCACTACCATTTTCAGAGGGACAATGACACCCCATGCCATTTTTTTTAAAGACTCCGAGTAGATTAGCAAGTGCTTCTTTTAATTTTGGACAGAAGTAAGTTGTGAGAATGAAAATGTGGCTGCTTTCATGTTGCACACTAATTTATTAACGGCTACAGTGCGCAATCTCGTTTGGCTTTGATAATACAAATAATAGATTCCAGACATAAAAGCCCTTTATTATTGACAACAATGTAAATAATTAAAGAAAGAGCTCAGACTTTCCTTGTGTCTTTGTCTTTCTACTCCCTGTACAGTGAAGGTTATGCAAGCAGCTGTGACTCTATAAAGCAACTTAAAGCAACCCTGCTCCTCATCAGCTTACCCCAAGCCATATTAAAGCCACAATAATGCAACTGCTCCATCACACTAAGCTTTATTGGCTCAGCCAAAGAAACTAAGAAACTTCATTGGAGACCAGATTAGGTTGGTTACAAAATGGAGAGATTCTTTTGCTCTCTGACCCCATTATCTTTTCCATAGTATCTTAGTCAGCTTTCTTACCCATAGCCATAGATTCTGGGGAGACCTGTAAATTGCTTTTTTGGCTGCCAAATTGCAGTAAACCTTCTATTTTTATGTTTTAAAAGAGCTTAAAACTGTCCATCCTCTTTAGATGTGTCTTAAAAAATGGCCAGTGCTGGGAGGATTTTGTATATATCCAAAGGCTTAGAAGAAAATGTTCCTTCTCCTGAGCTGTTAGCTTTATGGTCAACAAATATGAAAAGCCCAGTGGGGATAAAAGGAACTTAACCAGTTCTATCTAATGCATATAAATCTACCTAAGAGCTCAGTGCACATCAAGTCCTCAATGTACTACATTCATCTCAGTCTAAAGATGCAGAAAACGGGTTTTTTGCACATATTCCACATGTTCTTTTTCAATGCTGAGTTAATATGAATGAGAAAGACTCATCTGAGATGAGTAAACAAAGTCAATCTGGCTGGGGTGAGTTGGATCAACAAAGTAATTGTCAGGTTTTTCTATCAGCAACAACAGTTTGTTTGGGCTCAGCATTTCTAAAAGTAGAGATGGTAAAATGGTTTTAGGGAGACTGCTGCCGAACACTTTCCTTATTATCCTTGTTTTGCAAACCTGGAAACTTTCCATTAATTACCATGTAGCATATGTGACAAAGCCAAGTTACTTTTTCAAACTTTTGTTCTTCAATAATCAAATGAGCTCACTTAATATGTTAATAATCGAATTTAATCTAGACGCCCTTTGATTACAATAAAAAGGGTAGGGAGTGTATTTGCTATGCAACAAATACATGTAGTCCTAATAGTTAATTTCACATCTTCAAAGAGCCGTACACACATTAATTAATCCACCCAACATCTCTTGAAGTTAATGACTGTTATTACTTCAGTCTTACACACGTAAAAACTAATTTGCCCAAGGCCACACATATTTACCCTAGACAGCATTTTTGGTGCACCTGAAATTCCCAATGACTTCAGCGGAGTTTTGAATATTCAAAGAATGAAGAATTGGGCCTATAGTTACAAAAGTAGGATTAGAACTCTGGACTTCTTGTTTTTCCATCTCATAATCAGTCTAGCATACCATGCAAGGTAAATCAGGGTACGTCTTCACTAGCTTGTTAGTTCGAACTGGGTAGGGTAATGAGGGCAAGCAGAGTTGCAAATGAAGCCCGGGATTTAAATATCCCGGGCTTCATTTATATGTTCCCGGGCGCCGCCATTTTTAAATCCCCCTTAGTCCGAACTCCGTGCCCGCGGCTACACGCGGCACGGAGTAGGTAGTTTGAATTAAAGATCCTAATTCGAACTACCGTTACTCCTCATTCCACAAGGGAACATGCAAATGTATCCACAATGTATCCCGGGAACATGCAAATGAAGCCCGGGATATTTAAATCCCGGGCTTCATTTGCAACTCTGCTTGCCCTCATTACCCTACCTAGCTCGAACTAACAGACTAGTGTAGACGTACCCTCACTGTGCATATGTATTAGATGAAGTTACAGTACATTTTGTACAATGCTGTTTTGATGTATTTATAGTACTCTTCTCACTTTGTCTTAATATTATTTGCAAACTTCTTGCTTCAGTGTTAAAAAGAGAATTCAAAAAAGGTGGTATTTCAAAGGAATCAATGAAGCTCTAAACCCCCCCTCCTCCAATATGAAAGAGCATGGAAGGCAGCCATATCATAACATTTCTTGGATTTTGATTGGGAGTTACAAACTCAGATTGATTACACACTTGTTTTCTGTCCTTAATATAAAATATGTACATTTTAAAGCACTTAATTACCACTTAAAAAGCACTTAGATTATATAACATATACAGCACATACTTTTGCATTATACTTTAAATCCACTAGCATTAAAACTATATACAGCTAATTAGAAAACAGAAACAGTTTGAACAATTTTTTGGGTAGCCAAGTATACTTAGGGGAGAAAACAAAACACAGTCCACAATAATAGATGTGGACTGAGGATGCAGGCATAACAGGACTTTATCTGGTGTGCAAGACCATAGAAATTGTCTCTGCAGCTCACCAGCTGAGTCAGCCAGAAATAAGCTGGCCTGAAGAAGTCAATATTTTTCTCTTACACAGTGTTAAGTCATGGAGAGGATCAAATAAGTTATCCTGCTCCTCCGGACAACAAGGTTAGTGCCTTTCAAAAATGTTTTAATTATTTATATGCATCCACAGAGTAATTCCGATAAAAAATGTTTCACATGTACAGACACACACACAAAAAGGCCACAGGAGAGAAAGGATAGTTTGGTTATAAAATATGTGACATCTTTTGAATGGGTGATTGTGAAATGGTCAAAAGGAAACTACAAGCGACCAGACAATCTGCCCACCAGCAACAACAACAACAAAAAAATACCAACAACCCTGATTAGAACTAGTACAACCCGTCTTCTAGCATTCACAGAAAAAACTCTGCCCTGGCCAGTGCCCTCAGTTGCCTAGTTTAACTTAGGATAGGGTGAGTAAGCCTGAACACAAATGCAAAAAGAATACAATTCCAAGTATTTGGAGCATGAACCTTTGCTCAGATGAGTAGTGGGCACTACTACCTGGAGATCCAAGATTACTTGTGTGAGTAACAGCTCTAGGATCAACTGTATTATTAGGACTGTTCAATTTCAGTCCTTTATTCTGCTCTTTGGACTCATTTTTCTGGCTGGGAAGTTACTTTAGCATTTGGATTTGCTTGACTCTAAATCCAAGGAGAGAGCTCAGTTTGGGTCTACAGTCAGGCCCAGGCCAGAAAAGGAGCGAACTTAGTGGCCTGCCCTACAAAGGCTCACAGTTTCCCCGATCTTTTTCTTGACCCTTTATTGTCATTCAATGGCGTTTTGCCCTATCATTCAAAGGGAAAAAAACAACAACAAAACAAAACAAAATTCCCCAAAAAAACCAAAAAACTCCAACTAATTATTTGAAGGCTAATGTTCCATTTACATTCCCCCTCCTCTGCTGCTTAACTGATATGAATTTGCTGTGCTTTTAGGGCCTGACTGAAATCCCACTAATGTAGACGTCTTTTCAGTGACTTTCATGAATGATGGATCAGGTCCTTAGTACTCAGAGGTGGGAGAGAGCTTGAGCCAATCCTGTTCACTCCGTCAGAAAAAGACCCATTCAAGACCGGGCAGTGTCCATTCTCATGTTAGAAAACCAGGCGGATTCCACTCAGCTTGTGATATTGATTTATGAAATCCAAGCAAGTCGCTTAGTCAAATGCGTCTACCTTTTTGTTTATACTTTAGACATATTTTTATAGAGATGAAAATGGAGCAACAGAGGCAAGTGTAAAGCACAAGGATCGATGCCAGCTATAGGATCTGACTCAGGGATGCCTGACTGGGGATAAAAGCCTTGAGGAGGCTCTTGGTACTGAACAGGTTAAATAAAAGTGAATTGTTAAGCATAAAATTGAAAAAAATCTGGATGCCATCTAAACATATACATAATCTGTTATGCTTCCTAAAGAGTGCTGGTACTAGGGCTGAATTAAGGAATTAAACTCTTTGTCTGGACAAAGAGTAAAAGGATTTTAAAACATTGGTAATCATTG